GGCTATCAACATGGGCATGCTAGCCCAAGAGTAATTTATTGTAGGTAAAATATCCATGAGCATTATTAATATTGTTTTAAAATCAGGAAAACGGAGGAAGCACGAACCACGTCTTCTCTCCTTGAATCTTCCCGAACGACGGGCAGTGTAGCAACTTCAAGTTCTACCTGAAACTGTGAGGTGGCCTCCCCCGTGAAGGGAAGGTCAGTACTTGGAAGCATTTGAAAAGTACAATGACAACTATACTAAGTATAGTTGTCATTTAGGGTATTATTACATTATAGTTAACCCGTTTATTTAATATCGATTCACCGTGATAGAATCCTACTTCTAGTCACCTTTACGTCGGTCCAGAGCCCTGCTCTAATCACCCCTACTTACGTTGGTCCAGAGCTCTGCTCTAATCACCGCTACTTACGTTGGTCCAGAGCCCTACTCTAATCACCGCTACCTACGTCGGTCCAGAGCCCTGCTCTAATCACCGCTACCTATGTCGGTCCAGAGCCCTGCTCTAATCACCGCTAATTTCGTCGGTCCAGAGCCCTGCTCTAATCACCGCTACTTGCGTGCTAGAGCCTGCATGCTCTAGTCACGTCGTTTAATTATCTAAACAATTTTGTGTCCTATACTCTGTTCATAAAGTTCACCTCAAAAACATCTCTTAAGGCTACTTAGGACACCTTCCTTACAGGTCAATTTCTTAGGATTAGTTCCATCAATTATTCAACTAACATTTCTGACTAATCTAAAAAACTTATAAACATCAATGATGGTTAGGGCATTTTAGGAATGATAAAAATGTTGGTGTAACACTAAAGCAATACACACTTGTACAATTTGTTTGATTCATTGTACCATCTATCATTAAATCTATTACTTCTCTTTACTCCGTTAAAGTTAACTATTGACTTTACAAATTCCACCATGCATGCTTATGTGGCGTTAGTATTTGTATTATAACATGCACTTGGTGCTTCGATTTCCACTAGTTATTTTCATTGATTTTTTTGTTTTAGTTTTTTTCAGTACGTTAGTACGTTACCTTATATCTTATGCAAAACTATCCTTTAGTAATATTAACGCTGTAAATACTATTATTACACCAACTCATTTCTCTATTTTATGCATTTGGAACAACTCATTCTGATAGTGAAAAAAATATTATGTATGAAGTGTGTTCGTAATTTTAAACATATCGATTATGCTAACCAATAGTGTTTCATTCGATTAATTCTACCGGAATCAGGGATGGTCTTGTCTACTTCAATTTTGGGCCTATGAACCATATACCATCTTGGGCTTATTTTCAAGATTGACTGTAGAATTATATTTTCTAAAAATAAGGATTATAATAAACTATCTGATAAAAGTTACTACGTATAAAATAAAGATGAAAGTTTCTTTATTACGGAATAATATTTTAATTACATGGTTGGGCAAAAGTAATCAATCTTTTCAAGATTTCATGCTCAATGCTAAACAATGCTACCATTAAGTTTTTTTAAGATATAGTCGATCGCGGATAAATGGGATGAGGTTTGGAAATTGGGAGGCACGGGTTGGACAAAGAATAGTATAAATTGATAATTTGTAATTAAAAGGAATAAAAAAACCTTAGAGCTAAAAAGATGTGAATAGTCGTGCATTTATTGATTCAACAACAAATGTGATGATCTACAACTAGCTTTACTTAATTAAAAATTAAAATTAAATGTATATTCTTTTGTAAACTTGTTTGAGCGAATCGATCAAAAGTTTTTGCTTTTTTACATTTTCAAATCATCAACATAAATTAACCATTAGGTCTAATTAATTGAATTTAAAACTAAAAAAAACATTTGTTGACATTATGAATAAAGAAAACAAATTGGGCCTAATTTTTCTCCTATATGTTTGGGCCTAAAGCGGTCGCCCCTACTGCCCTCCCCCTAGGACCAGCCCTGTTCAGAATAGCATTGAACATTTTCCTCTCGCGCATCGCGCGTAGTAAAACTAGTATTTCAATATTAGTCGTTCGTTCATTTCCATTTAATTCATCATTCATGTGTCATTTGGCATTTATATCAAATATCACTTTTATACTCTCATGACTTCTTCTCATGAAATAAATGTATATTTATCACAATAGAATTTATGGTTAATACAACCATCATACCATCATATTCATAACACATAAACACACCCGATTTATTCATAAATTTGTATACTATGTATACTACACTTATAATCAAAAGTGATTTCATTTAGGCATTATTAATATTTAATAATCCAAAAATATAAGTACATTTATCACAGTAAAATTCATGGTTAATACAATCATCATACCATCATATTCATAACACATAAACATACCCAATTTATTCATAAATTTGTATATTATGCATACTATACTTATAATCAAAAGTAATTTCATTTAGGCATTATTAATCATTAATAATCCATGCAAATTACATTTTTATTCACTTAGGAAATCTTATGAAATTAACCCAATAATTATAAGCAATATAGTCGGTCATCCTCACTTCGAATTAGCGCTATGAAGTTATACCCCTCTTGGTTGAACTCCGGCGAAACTCCGACGACTTCTTTCAACTCCGTGAAAGCTCTTGAAATACCTTAATCAAGTTCCTAACAAGGTTTTATAATCATAAAACCCATATTAATACAAATAACCTCAAAAAGGTTATTTTTCGGCGAACCAGTTGTTTTGGCGCCTAAGTCCGTTCTTGGACATAGAACCATCTTCCAACCCATAAATCCATACTTATAACATGTGGAACCACCCAAAGGGTTCTTCATATGGTGTATGAGTCATATGGTAGATAAAAAGTAGAGGAAAAGTTATAATGAGGTTATTACCTTAACCCTTCACACTTTTCCTAACTTTTGCCTTCTTAAAACCTCCTCCTTGAACCATTAAAGCTTGAGCTCGAATTATCTATGGAGGATGGGGGTTTGCAGAGCTCCTTTTCCTTCCTTCCTTGGTGTCGGCCGAATACAATGATGAGGGGAAGGGGGATGTTCACTTTTTGTCTTAATTGGCAAATAAGTGATGGGAGGGGGGTCATCTATGTACTTTAGATGCCAATACTATCTCTTCAGTTCCCTCCCCTATCTATCCAGCCCTCTTTGATTAATTGGAGCACACAAAAACGTGGGGTGCCCCCCACCCATGTGGGAGGTCATCCCATTATGTCCCGATGTGTACAATCGGCCCCAAAAGTTGTATTTTTCACACTGTTTTACATATATTTTATTTTATCAGGTCAAATAAAATATCTTACTTACTCTCAATGGAAATGGACCTTTGAAATAATATATTTTCCAAAACATTAATTTAGAAGTCTCCGAAATTCATTTTCGGGCTGTTATTTGATAAACCGTCGGTACTCGGTACTGGTAATTGGGCCGTTTTTGACCAATCGGTCAACCCTGGCCTTTCTATGGCCCAAATAAAATATCCACAACCATATAATTATTATTATCCAGACCAAGATAAATAAAATATATGGTTTCGGGATTATCGGGTGGCCCCCGCTCCCAGTGCGGGTCCCACGTGCATTTTCCTATTCACGCGAAAGAAATAATAAAATTTACAACTTCGTAAACACATTAACCATTTAATAAGGTTCAATACATTATTTATTTAAAAGTAAATATATTTGGGGACGATGTTACAATTGTTTTGTTAAAAACAGATTTCTCCAACGTGGCTTCGTTACAAAAGATATGTAGATGAGGCTTTTGAAGTGTTGAAGAACTGGAACTCTGCTCTTGTTGGATATGGTAGATGTGAAAAAAATATATATTTTCGAACGTAAGCTTTTCTTGCTGAGGAAGATGAAATTCATATCTCAAGAAAGCTTTTTGAATGTTCGTAGAGAGCAAAAGTTATCCCGGTAGTTCTCTAAAGTGTATCTTATATACTGAGAGTTGTCTTCCCGTTGGAGTGTAAAAGACAGCTTCATTAAATGCTCGTACTGTAGATTTGACCGGTTGGTTCCAAAAGCAGACGACTTGCTATTTTTGGGCGCATAAAGATATTCTTTTTGGATTCTTGGTCAATCATGAGCTTTAAATATCTCAACGTGTGAAGCACAATAAATGGGCATTTAATGCACATACTGTAGCTTTCCCGTTGAGGGGCTCCTAGCCGTTAAGAGAATATCCCGTTAGTTTAACCGGCTTAGGTAGCTACGAAATTCTCCAAGTGTGAGGCCATCTGTTAATTTACACAGAAGGGTAATCTCATAGAGCCTCGATCACTTCTGCCCAGTAGAAGTCCAACTGAGGGCCTGGAGGTCTTCTGTTCAGTAGAAGTCCAACAGAGGCCTGAAGGTCTTCTGTCCAATCGATTACTCTAATGCTTACATAAGGAAATTTCTAATACAATTTTCTAAAGAGGTTATGTTCTAAAAGTCTAAATAGTCTAGCATCATCAAAATCTAAATACAATTTATTATTCCTTACACATCTTATTCATTAAGTCTAGTTTACTCATACCAAATTTCAGCTAAAACTTCAATCGGGAAGCCATTCAAATGAATTATTGAAGATAACTGCGCTTTTTAACTGCGCAGTTATCTTCAAGAATTAATTTGAATGTCTTCCCGATTGAAGTTTTAACTGAAATTTGGTATGAGTAAACTAGATTTAATGAATAAGACGCTTAAACAATTTTATAAAAAATTCCACCGGGAACCAACCCAAATGGAGACGGATGAGCAGAGCTCCTATATAAGGGGTATTTGATCTTTTTATGTAAGTTCAAGGCCTATCTCACCATTTCCCCTTTTTTAATCAAAAAAGCCGTAAGCGTTTAAAAGCGGTCTTGCACCGATACTTCACCCCGATGCCGTATCCGCGTATCCGATACCGATACCTCGATGCGTATCCTTTGTAAATTGCCGTATCGCCGTACCCGTATTCGCGTATCGGCGTATCGGTGTCCGTGCACATAGTTTAAAAGCAAAAAAAGCCAAATACGTGGACGAGTGAATACACTAGCCAACTAGCCAAGCCAAAATGAGAACTGGCCCAAAAAATCCAAAGAAGGAACGCAAGGCGCATACTACGTAGCGACTCGCGCCGTGGCCCGTGCGACTCCACTTTTCCATCTTCTCTTCAATCTGTGCAGATCAAGCACGTCTGTAGCCTCTAGCCCGGTAACGGGTAGCTGGTCGGCCGGTAGCACCTTTTAGCCTCTAGCCGAGTAGCACAACACTCTCGGTGCGCCATTTCTGTCTTCCGGTATGTCAATGATTAATTTTTTTTAGTTTTATAGACATTTATATGCTCTTCCAGGTTAATGGTTTAGCTGTTTAAATGCTATTTCTATAAATTAGTATTTTTCAGGGAGGGCTTTAATTCTTTAACTCCTTTAAGCCTTTAATTTATGTTTCTTAGAAGCCCTTTAATTAATGGTTTTATTCTTTATACTTTTACTCTTTCGGATGTTAGGCTTTGAGGTTTAGACCTTTATATAATTTATGGCCTTATATTCATGTTTACGTATGATTTGAGTCATTTGACTATTTCAGTCAGCCATTGGCAAGTTTTAACATTTATTATGAATGTGATTTGTCATTTGTAAGTTCTAATTTGTCATTTGTGAATATCATTTATTGTAGTATGAATTTGATTGTGATTTGTTATTATTAATCTAATTATTTAGTTAGTTAGTATTAATGTAGTAACTAGTAAGTTAGTAACTAGTAATCCCATTGTGAACATCTTTGATTTTTTGTTGCAACTTGCAATGGATGTTATTGTGTACCTCAAAATAATTTTTGTTAAATAGACATTATTATATTACATTTTAACTTTTTTTTCGTTGCAATATAAGTTATTTAATTAAACTTTTCCCTCCCGAATGCCAAAGCTAGACCTGCCCGCCCCAGAGAACAAAAACACTCTTCCCCTGTAAATAAAGACGAATTCCCTTCTTTGGCAGATAAGGAAATGGCCCTAAGAGCACCCATAGCAGGAATATGCACATCTTCAACTCTGTTTGCTCCGTCATGTAACTACAATAGGGCAGTGGTCAATGCGAAGGCTTCATCTTTGGGAACTTGCTTTTTTGGTCGTAAAGGTACATAGTTTTACGGTCATAAACGCCAGTTTTGTGAAATTAGCTGTAGAATTCGCTTTATTTGCTTCTTTGCTCATACAGAGTATTAAACTTAGGTGTATACTATTTCATCAATTGGTCCATATTGGATTTCAACTTTGATAGTCAATATTCAATAGCCTTTTTTTCATAGGTGTATTTCTAAAACAACAATCTAGTCTTAATTATGAATGAATATAAAATGTTAGAGTAACATTCACCAAAATCCATATTTTTCAATTTCTTCTGTCGTATACCATCCTACTTATTAAGTCCAAACATATAATGTTTCTTTTGTTACCTTTAATCCATGTACGTATTACGTAATAGTGGCAGAGTTCTGCCAGAACTGTTGTATTAAGGGGTTTGGAGCTTGGAAGATTAATGCTAAAAGTTTCATATTTCAATAATTATTCTAATATTTTACAAGTATTTATGCGTACACACACACACACACACTAGGAAAAGGGGGGGGGATGCCCCTTCCTGTCCAAGCGAATTTCCTTGTTATGAGTTGTTACAAATATTATCTTTATCTTACTACTTATCATACTCATCTATCTTATCCTAAGTCTCTCCACCACACTCATCATCTTTATTAAGTCTTTCTTAAATGGACAAATATTCTGATCGGTATGGTAATGTCAGTCTTGTAGTAATCTTATAATCTTCTTCATCATTACCCCATTGCCGCAAAGGCTCCCACCAACAGTGGGTTAAAGGTGGGGGGTCGGATGTACGCAGTCTTAGCCCTGTACTAAATCACAAAGAGACTGTTTCTGAATGACCCATAGTGAAAATCGCGTCGAAAAATTGCATGAACCGACTGCCGCTTCATAACAAAGAAGCGCGGACAGTTTAGTGAGTCATTTTGCTTTATTCCATCATATTCCCAAGCCAAAGAATAGTGAGTTTTGGCTCCATTGCAAATGATGGAAGTGTAGTATTCTTATAATATTCCTATAAAAATTTCCTTTTAACTTTTAGGAATATATGTTGCTATCGCATAGTATACATTTTGCCCCTTTGCATTTTAGCATACCGGTATGTCACATCTCTTTCAGTGCCTTCATTTATATATGAGAGTGCATTTGCGTGCAATCAAACAATTCATTATGTATGTTTTTCACATCCAATTTTACTCCACTTTGCATTTTGTTTTTTGTAGTGCTAAATTTGCACACAAAATACTCCAATAATGTGATTACTGGCTGTACTAATCCATTATTGGACTTTGTTTATGTTAGCCAAAGATTATAGAATGCGGATTCTGAAAGACTTACTAGATTATTTAAGTTGTGGATTATTCAAAATTCACTCTTTAAAAGTATAATTATAATCCATTATCATGAACATTGCCGAGACTTGTGGGAAATGAAAATGTTACAATGCCATTACTGCCCTATGTACAAGACCCTGTTTGAATATTGGGAACTAGAGTATGTGAAGATGGAATACGGCCTAGACAAGTATGGAGTAACTATAATTTAGTTAATGTGACTCTGCTATGCTATTTAATTGGCGATTAGTCTCAGTGATTACTTACTAGCAATGTTCAAAATTGCGTTCCGCCTCTACGCAATAAGGCTAGCCTTATGATTTTTAATCATTTTAGGATACAAGGCTGAAACGGGATTAGGCAATATAGAACTAACCGCCTTTTTGGAAAAGGCGTACGCTTATTGCGTACGCCATAAGTCGGATGTTGAGGCGCGATTAAAAAAGGGCCGTCTTCTGCAGCCTGCAGCCCAGATTAAATTTAAAAAAATACCTTAAGAGGGTTAGACGCGTAGTACATAAGGAGAGACATTCCTAGTTCGTAACTTCGTAACATCCTTATCCCTTATCGGCAGGTATGGGTTTAATACTTTATATATTTATTAATAGATGTTCTGGATGGGCACTTAAAGTGATTTTATATAGTTAACTACGGATTAAGTGATTTCTCTTGATTTGATTTGATTTGATTTGCGTAGAGGCATGATTTTATATTTTATATAGTTATGTACTTAACTACGGATAAAGTGAATTCTCTTGATGTGTTTACGCTCTGTTTTCGGTGTAGTGGAAGTGACTTGAGCTTTCAAAAAAAATACGGATAAAGTGAAGAAGTAATATTTTATTAGTTTCTTTATGGTTAGTGGATTCATCTTTGTTATTTTAATACATAGTGGAACATATCATACATAGTTGAACATCTATAGTGGAGTAATAATATTGATTCTTCTTTGTTATTTTAATTAAGAGTAATATTATTGATTTTAATACATAGTGGAATTTTTATTAGGAGTAATATTATTGATTCTTTTTTGTTATTATTTTAATACATAGTGGATTTTTTATTAGGAGTAATATTATTGATTCTTTTTTGTTATTTTAATACATAGTTTAGTATTAATTACATTATTTGTTCTTTTATATAAATAAATTTGTTAAAAAATTGAGGCTTACGCCTCATTGCGCAATGAGGCTTGCGCAATAGGCAATGCTAGGAAACCGCCTCAAACACGCAATACGCAATTTCGAACCTTGCTTACTAGTCAGGACTCAGCCCTAGGCCATGTCGAGTAGGTTAACTACGGGGAACAATTTGTAAAACCAAGTTACTTGGCTAGTCCTCTGTGATTTTCGTACTCTGTGTCTCGTTTTACCCGGTGAGTAGTCGGCTGGATCAAATATGAAAATATTTAAAATAAAATTTGAACAAAGCAGTTAAATTTGATAATACTTCATCAACTTCTTTTAGTATCTACCATGTTTAAAAACCTAGGGTTTAGTAATATGACAACCTTTATGGTTCCAGCTATGTGCAAGAGCCATATAGCGATTCCAGTTATATCAGCGATGTGAATTGGTGAAACGATGAAAGTTGACTACTTCTATTTTCTCAGTTCGTATTTCTTTTCTTTTTACTTTCTCCGCTCGTCTGCCCTTCCGGTTAGTGGTTAGTACTAGTGCGTTAATAATCTATGGAAGCAAGAAGTTCTTGGCACTATAAAGGATACCACATTATGCAAAGTGCACTGTATAGGATAAAACAATTGTACAAGATGGACCTCCAAATTTGTAGTGCCAATTGTCCATTTTCTGGCATCTTTTTTGCATTATATGTGTGTGTGTGTGACTAATAAGGATCTTATAAGCAGAAATTGTTAGGGTATGCTCCCTCTGTAACAAAATAAGTGTTACATTTTCCTTTTTGGGCGTATCAAAATAAGTGCCTCATGTTATGGCCTTGGTATATGATATCGCCCAAGGTCAATGATTCTGAGAAGAATGAGAAAAATATGAATCTACGGTGCTTGAAATTTTAATCGACTCCCGCTCTCGGCAAGGAGTTGTCGCAGGTTCCACCATGCACCAAATAAAAATTAATATTCCAAAGCTGATCTTTTTATTCCAACTGATAAGCCTTAAATAGGCAAAAGACAAGTTTCCTAAAACAATCATAGGAAAGAAGTATTAAAGAAGCTCCTAAACTCGTATAACTTATACTAGTTTATAAGTATAAGGAAACCTGAATAAATAAACTGGTATTAGACTCAAAGTAGGAAACTGATTTAATTAATTAAAATACTGTGGACCACTCAAGCTGATCCCTCCTTTGACTGCCTCTGGTAGTCTCTGCCAAACCGACCCATATCATCACGCACCACACCCCCACCCCCCTGTGGAAAACGAGCTTGTCCTCAAGATCGAAATCAGGAAAATTCTCACGTAGGATCTACAAAGAAGGAAGAACTCACACCAGAAGGAACTCACGAATACTTTATCGCAGTCAGAGACAATAGATTCTGGAAGACCATGGAAGCGATTTTTTTTAGAGAAGAAGACTGCTGCCACTGAACAGCTGTAAACGGATGTACTAGTGCAATGAAATGAGCAGCTTTTGACAATCGATCCACAACCACAAAAACAACTGATTTCCCCCGAACCTTGGGCAATCCCTCGATGTAGTCCATGGATATATCTGCCCAAATGTGGTGAGGAATGGGTAGGGGCTGAAATAAACCTGCAGGCTGAAGGTTCAGCCATTTGTGTTGTGCAATCCCGTACATAGTCCGTGATGGTTTTTTTCATGCCAGACCAATAAAATTCTCGACACACCCGCTGTAATGTCTTAGCACTACCTTCATGGGCCATGGAGTGGAACAAATTGACTATAATTGGAGCGGTAAAGGATGGCAGTAAATACACCTTATATTGGAAAAATAGCAACCCCTCTCGATTTGCCTACTTTGTTCTCAAGGCACCTTCATCAAGCTGGCATCAAAGAGCTCAGGTTTCGGACGAGCAAGGTAGTCAAAGTCGCGAGGCACATTGAAGGCGCTAGAGTAGGCGCAAGGCGCAAAAAAGCGCTCGCCTGACTCATGTCAAGCGCTCTATTTAGAAAATATTATGTATACTATTCTAGAGTGATCAAATATGACATATTCAACATCATATTGAACTAAATGCAATAAAAAGTCATGTTTCTCAAAAGCAAAGTCACAATCAACAAAAATAAAGACACGGTTCACAAGAACAAAACACCGAGTGGGGTCTGTTTAGGTGATTTTGCAGTTTGAGGACTAGGGGTAGCATAAATTGTGCAGTGTATGAAACTATCAACTAAGTTAGATTATATGAGGGTTTTGATAGATCACTGGTAATCTCTAGCTCAAAACAGTATAGAATCAATAGAAAATAAAGAAGAAAGGATTGGAAATTCTTATTATCAAGGATGAACAGAACAAAGAGGAATACAGTAGCCTTGGACGATTTGAGATGCCCGGTCTCCCAGCCTATTCCCAACAGAATACTTGCCTACCTCTTTTCCTCTCCTTCCTCTTCTATTTATAGTACAAGCCCACTTATTATTATCTACAACAATAGGCCCAATATTCCTGATTTACTAAAATGTCCCAGAATCTACATTTATACTCTATTACACTCTTTAATACTATTCTAGTATTCTTATTAGTATTATTGTCTATGTTCCTATCAGTTTTATACAATTACAATATGAAACGATAATAAGAAGATACAGAGTTATAGACTGTATAATAAGATGAAGCAAAGAGAAGTATAAAGTATATAATATATATGAAACAAAGAGAACTATAAAGTTAGAATATATAAGAAGCAAAGAGAACTATAAAGTATGGAATATATAAGAAGCAAAGAGAACTATAAAGTATGAAAAGAGAACTATAAAGTATGCATAGTCAGATACATGTAATTTGTTTGAGGTGTATATAGAATATATAAGAAGCAAAGAGAACTATGAAAGTACAGGAAGAAGATAGACTGAAAGAATAAAAAGAAAGGATCACCAAGAAGATGACAAAATAAATGAAGACTACAATCTGAAAAGGAAAGAAGAAAGAACATGGGAAGATGATGAAGAAGAAGACCCCTTATGGGTTGCTCACTTGCTGGCTTCTGTGGGTTGATCGTTGAATGCTATTTCAGTGCTGAACCGGTTGCGTGAGTAGAGAATAGGAGAGTAATGATGAAATCACGCTATAAAAGGATTTTACTGTGACTTAGAAGGGTTTAACATGTTTTTAAGTTGTTTTGACCTATTATTTGAATGGGCTAAATCTTATTATAAGTATGGACTTGTTATTTAAAGTAGGATCAACCAAATATATAGGTTGATATTTGATAAGCCTTTCCCGGGCCGGGCGACATAAGCGTGCGCTTTTCAGCGCTTCAGAGCATCTGCGCTTATACACCCTTGACAAGGTCACGGGCTGTCCTTTTTTTTTGCCAATACCTGTAAAATTCTCTAAGTCGAAATAGATCATGTTATGATAGTATGTGTCTTGTAACAAATGCCGTTGGCTGCTGTTGCAGGGGCACATTGTGAATGGTGTTATATTACTGCATGAAACTATTGGATTTTGCTAGTAACATATTTCTTGATTTTCTTCCTCCCGCTTCCTTAGGCGTAAAGTTTGATGCTGTCTGAAACAGTTTCTTCTCTTACAGTTGGAGCTCTAAAGCTTGCAGTTGAACAACGTCCTCATTTTAATAGATTCAGAACTGGTGCCCTTAGTACTCACAGTAATTTGTTCGAGAGATTTGCCAGAGTAGTTAAGGTCAGCTGTTAATGATGATTTCTTATTCGTCTTTCTTTTCTTACTGCATCATCAGGCCATTGAAGTTATTTTCTGTTTTATTGTTTGGACTGTAGTCTTATGCTAATGCCATCATTAGCTCTTTCGAAGACCCAGAGAAGATCCTGGAGCAAACAGTGCTAGAAATGAACAACGATTTGATAAAATTGCGTCAAGCTACAGCACAGGTATGTTGTCTTTCGGCCTCACTTTCTTTCTATCTCAATTTGTTGAGTCTTCGATATGCTTTACTTGAATGGCTCAAGGAATAAATGACACACAATTGCCCACAAAAAAGTTCAGAGTCACTGCTTTATCTAATTAAGGTATATGGGTGTGAAGTATTTCAGTTAATTTCTTTTTGTCGCCTTAAAGGTCTTGGCTTCACAGAAGCAGATGGAAAACAGATACAAAGCTGCACAACAAGCATCTGAGGACTGGTAACAGCTGAGGAGGCTTGACTTGTTTTGTTATGCTCTTTTATAGCTGTGAGCTTATTCACTGTTTTTGTTACAGGTATCGTAGAGCGCAACTTGCTCTTGGAAAGGGAGACGAGGATCTTGCACGTGAAGCTCTCAAGCGAAGAAAATCTTATGCTGTAAAGCCTTTCTCTGTAAAAGAAGTGCTTTAGTTTTTTCTTGAATGTATGGTTCTTTAGAGAAATATGGAAACTGTGAATAGTAGCCAAACCTTTGTATTTGATATTTGAGTCACGACAAGCATGTTTACTGAACATCTATATGCATTTTGTTCATCAAATATGAGTTCTAGCAGTGTTAACTGTATGAGAGAACTTAGTCCGGCTTATTATTTATACAGTTTCAATCAAAGAGAACTAAGGCGGTGCTTATTGCTTAATAATTGTTTTTCTTTGCAACATATTTTGAAACAAAAAATACTCCATTGTAAAACAGTAAAATATTTTTGTGCACCCAGCCGAATTGTGTTATACTATGTTGATCTGGGAATACTAAAGACAAAAAACTGCCAGTAATGACAGGCTTTGATTTTCGTGCTTTCACTCAATTGGCAAACTCTTTAAATTTTACAGGATAATGCAAATGCATTGAAGGCTCAGCTTGATCAGCAAAAGGGTGTGGTTGACAATCTGGTCAACAACACACGGGTGCTCTGCTAAGATGCCTTTGTAGTTGGATTGAATAATTATATACTGAATATATATTACAGAATTTAACATTTTTATGCTTGTATTTCTTTCACAACAGCTTTTGGAGAGCAAGATTCAAGAAGCGAAGTCAAAAAAAGATACACTAAAAGCACGTGCTCAATCTGCTAAGTGGGTTCTCGCTCCTTGTAGCCCTACATTAGTTTTCTATATTTGATGATCATTGTACCATGTCTTGTCTACTTATTATCAACATTCTAGTGGCACATAATTTACTCCTCTTTTCTTTTAGTACATTTTTTGCTAATATTTAATCCACTGACCGTCATTCCTGTAGGACTGCAACCAAAGTATCTGAGATGCTTGGGAATGTGAACACTAGCAGTGCCCTTTCAGCCTTTGAAAGAATGGAGGAAAAAGGTACTCCACTGTCCTCTCCATAGATGTCACTTGGAGAATTGAGAATTGTGGACTAAACACGTAATGATGTGATACCACAAAAGACTATGTTTACAAAAGATTGAAGACTATATATATGTACAAAAAATTGACAACTAGAGACAAACATGTAGTCACCTGCAAGTCTGCAACTTCTGGGGAAAAAATTGTAGTTTTTGCTTTGAGTCACTCACAGCATGTGCTTGCACATGTTTTCCCTAGATTAGATATAACTATGAAGTGGAATGGTTGGCGATAGCTTTTGTTTCTCGTAATAGTTATGACCACGAGATCTCAAGCAGACACTCTTAACCAGTTAACATAACTATGTAGTGGAATGGTTGACGATAGCTTTTGTTTCTCGTGATAGTTATGACCATGGAATCTCAAGCAGATGCTCTTAACCAGTTAACAAGTGATGAGCTTGAAGGAAAGGTAAGCATCATAATTTTTTTCTGATGCCAATAGTGAACAAAATTGTATACTGATTGTGGACCTTGTGGTTTAGTTATCTCATGGCCTAATTAAACTCTAAAGTATCAGAAGTTGAGGTGAATGCCTCATATAGAACCTGGCTATAATGCTCTGTTATTTTTCATCAAGTCTGTCGATAAAGTTTTCTTATAGTTTCTCTTTGCTATCATTAATAGTCTGTTGAACCTTTTTCTGGATTATGTCTTCGCTTCTATGTTTTTATCTCCTACAGTTTGCGATGTTGGAGAGCTCTTCAGTTGACAGTGATCTTGATGAACTAAAAAAAGAATTGGGTGGAAAATCAAAGGTAACTTTTTCCTTTGGAAATGGATATTGTGAAACAAAATAGTGCCACATATTCCTTACTTCAAATGGAAATGGCAAAGTATTTTGGGACAGCCGAAAAAGGAAATTTGGCCAAGTTTTATGGGACGGAGGGAGCATTATTCTATCATGTTCTACTTTTGTATTTGAGAGGGAAGTGGGTTTCGGGTGCTGGGCTTCTAAGAGAAGAACATGTCTATAGATACCATTGGAAGGAATCTTTTGTACATGCACTTTTACCATATTTACCAGTTCTTCAAATATTTCAGCATTTGTTAGAGAAAGAATCAAACTAGGTAGTGCAGTCTCAATTAAAAATAAAAATGTCTTCCTCTACTGAGTACTGGGTACTTAGATAGTAGGAGTGTGACTTTTTCCTTTTGATTGACTTCTTTAAGAATTATTTCTTGTTGACGAGAGCTATATTTCCATTTGATAAATAGAAAGGTGAGCTTCCGCCTGGCAGAACGCCCATTACCAGCACAAGGTCATTGCAGTTTCAGGATGCTGACATTGAGAAAGAACTGAATGAACTAAGGAGGAGGGCTAGTGATTTATAGGTATCATGGACGATCATGAGTCATTTTTTTCACTTTCGTACAATTCCAATATATATGAATTAAGTGCAACAAGGAATTGCCATTGAAGAGGCAGGCCTGGTTAGAGGACATTAGAAGAGTGATAGCGTGACCGGTCTTGATATATTATTTTACCTGCTTGTATGGATTATAGCTCACACTTGGACGTCCATATGTGAGTTATTCTACCGTTGCATATGAAATTGATTGCCTAGAATCAAACTTCCCAAAGAGCGAAGGTTTTGTATTACGGCTTTATTATCTTCTCTATCATTTTGTATTGAGACTGAATATAAACTATTTTTCTCTCGTCTCAATATTTGGCAGTCTATCCTGGATTTATACTTCATATAAACCGTTTGTTATTTCATTTTTGCAAAAAATGAAAATGAATATGTTTTCCTTTGAAAAAAAACCTTTGGCCCGGTTATATACCGGGACCGGTCCGGGTCGGGCTTCGGGTCGGGTTGGGCTACCCTGTCAGGCTTCGGGTCGGGTTGGGCTACGGGCTACCCTGTCAGGCTTTGGGTTGGGCCTAATAATTTTTTTAGCTAATTCACAAGTGCTACAATATATACTTAATGGGATAATTATATGAAAAATGTATAATAGGATAAATGTATGAATGTATTAATGAATGTAAGTGTGTAAGTAATGGGATAAATTTAAATAATATTAATGAAAGTGTAATTAATAGGATAAATGTATTAATGTATATTAATTAATGGAAGTGTAGGTAATGGGATAAATTTAACTAATATATAATATAATGTTTGTAGTATATAATAATATAATATATACTCCCTCTGTCCCATTTTATAAGATATCTTTACTATTCACTTGGTCAACACAAATCACTCTTAATCTCTTATTTTATAAATAAAAAATTTATGAAATCTGAATTATTTTTTGCAGGTTTTGTAGCGGTTTTAATGTAGTTTCTGAATATGTAATTCTTTTTCTAAAAAGAATTTGAGTGCAGATAGGGATCTGTTTGCTTTATCGTCGGTCAAACATCGTAAACCGAAAAGTATCTTATAATTCGGAACGGAGGGAGTAAGTAACTACTATAAGATGAGCAATATACTTTAATTCAGATACTTAATATATAAGTAGATATAATAATTGTATAACTAGGTTAAATAGATATAATATATATTCATAGGTGTGGAGAGAATAACATCGTGCACACGGTGTTCCGAACCCAATTGGGCATCATTTTATTAATTTAAAAAATAGCAAATAACTTGTCTTCTTCCTGGCCATCTATTCATCTTTTTCATCGACGTGTTTGACCATTTATTCTTCTTTTCAGTCCAGCTATTTGGCCATTTATTCCTCTTCTTACATGTCCAAACTCTTCTTAATCGACTCTTCTAACTTTTCTTCTTATCTGTCCAGTCCCCATCTCCTTCAACCATAACTTGTTACTCTCGAGACATCACCATTTAGCACTTTTCATGCATAAAAAGGGGTAAAAAAACATGGAGGAAGATGATAACTATTTCCAATGATTAATACTCACTTTTCTTATTAATGGTCATTGAATTGCACACAAATTATATCATGGGATCGTTACACCGTGTGCACGGTGTATCAAACTCAAGACATCTTCGTTTTATTAATTAAAAAAACAAATAACTTGTCTTCTTCTTTGGTCATCTATTCATCTTTTTCATCGATTTGTCTGGACATCTATTCTTCTTTTTGGCCCAACTATTTAGCCATTTATACCTCTTCTTACATGTCCAAGCATCTTCTTAATCGACTCTTCTATTTTCTTCTTCTTTTCTGTCCATCTCCTTCAACCATAATTCAATTATGACTGAATATAAATATGATTAATAATCAAAATTCATGATCTCATGTATGAAAAGTGTGGCTCTTCCCGTTTTATAGGCAACACATAGGATGAGGAGAAGTTGTTTAGATATAAGGGATAGAATCTACTCCTTTAGCAAGGTAAAACTTCCACTTCGGTAAATTAATTTAAATTTTGATTTTGATGAATACACATAATTTTTATTAGATTTCTAACTTTCATACGAAGTATATAGTTACATTCTCCGAGATATCAAACTATGTTGTAAAACCATCAAATTGACAAGTGTGAATTATTCATCCTTGTCACTAGGACACCAAGATGTTCCTGATCTTTGTAGTGATCCTTGTAACCTAGTTAGAATAAGTGGCTCAATTTGTTATTGCCACCAAATCTGTAGACTCATCATTTAGGTGACTAATCATCAAGCTCAAACACTATAAATAAGAGTTTGATGAAGCCTTGTAAATTCATTCAGAAATTAAAAGAACTCAGAAATTTCAGAGATTAAGAAGAAGTTATTTAGAGCTTTTTAACAATATATCTCTCTTAAATCTGTTCTTCATCTTCTTCATTTCACAACACGTTATCAGCACGAATCAGCTCAAACTCTTCAAGAATTCAGCTATCTCCTGCAGGTATTCATGACAATATCAATTACCTTCTTTTACTGTTTAAACCAGAAAATTATTCTGAATTTTAAATAATATCTTCTATCATATACGTATATATTTGGTATTAAATAATATAGATAACATACCTTTGCATGATTGATATCTTCGATCAATTCTGATAAAATAAAATCACCATAATTACTTAGTTATTCTTACAAGAATACTGTAGACAAGTAATAAAGGAGAAGAAAATGATACGAGCGGAGTGTTCCTATAAATTTTTAGTAAGCACGGTGTGGATATTAAAAATTATTTAATATTTTGGACTTAATATTTTATGACGGTCCCTAATATTATTAGACTCATTCAAATGCTACCAGACTATTCTCAATCATATTGGACCTCGTTTGGATGCTACTGGGTCAACGTTGAATTTTACTAGGCTGCTCGTGATAATTGTTGGGCCTTATTTAAAGAGAAATATTAATACGAGTTCATATTGAGAAAAAAAAATTTAGTGATTGAATTATTTTGGGTCATTTAAAATACCTACTTAATTCAATTATAAATTAAATCTTTAAAATGGACCAGTCCTATTAATTTTGAGCCCATTATTAAATAATGGCCCGACAAGCATGAGACATGATTCAATTGAAAAAGAGAGCAATGAATCTGGTTAAGAAATCCGTCTGTATGCATGGAAAATGGCTACGAACCTTGTTAAAAAAGGCTGTCCAGATACATCGAACAAGTGCTGATTTTTCTAGCTATTAAAATGCAAGCAAATGGAGCCCAAAGCCCATTTTATCATGGCCCATAAGGTATGGACGAATTTCAGCAACCCTAGGTCATATTTTCACCCCCTCCACACCTATAAATAGAGGTCTCAGTTGAGAGAAAGGGAGGAGAACGGCCAGACGAAGAAACGCTGCAGCAAAGCTCTGAAGAACTCCCGAAAGGCTCTGAAGGATTCCGAAGAAGAGGAAGAGATCAAGCCACATTTTTGTCAAGAATATATGAATAATCCTTTGTGATTTCATCGATTCTTGATCAAACAAAGCCAAAAGTTGAAGAACGTTCGAAGATCTGAAGAACGAAGCTTGAAGATTCGAAGATCTGAAGAACGAAGCTTTGAAGATTCGAAGATATGAAGAACGAATCTTTGAAGATTTGAAGATATTCATATGAAGATTGAATCAATATTCAATTGAAGATCAAGCCATATATCCCGGGAAGCCCTTTAACAGAAGATCAAGCCACATAACGGCCCTTTTGTTGAAGATCAAGCTACTTGAAACCGGAGGCCCTTCAATATTGAATTTTGCATTCAAGAAGATTTGAAGATCTGAAGAACGAAGTTCGAAGATTCGAAGATCTCAAGAACGAAGATTCGAAGAATCGAAAAACGTTCGAGTTTTTGAAGAATTAGAGATTTAATTTTAAATTAAATTCTTTAATTATATTCATATCAAATTGCAAGTGAAGAATCAGAGGATTCATATTTAGAGATTGTACCCGATATTCTCACATATTATTATTTGCGATCAATTTTAAGTAAATACTTAAAATTTGTTTCACAAAGTTTTGGCACGCCCGGTGGGACAACTCTACCTCTCATCTCTTCACTTTTAATCAAGGAAAACGAAACAATGGCCTCAAGCAAGCCCGTGTTCACTTTGAATTCTCGAGCATCGTCAATCTCAAATCAAAACATGCAAGGCCCTATTACTAGGAGCCGATCAAGAATCCTGGCTACGCAGTCATCTTCGGGAACTACTCCCGATGCAATGGATGGATCTCGAATTGCGCAAGAAATGACCTGGAAGCTTTCTTCACCCATAAGTGAAGTTACTTCCCCGAAGTGGACAAGCGGAGGTGAAAGCTCATCATCTGGATCAGACTCTACTCCCCCGTCAAGTCCTCTACGAAGAACTACTCCGCAGTGGTCAAATGTCTATACTGTGATGCCCACCATGACAACGAGCACCACATCTATGGAAGAACAGATCGCCCATCTAACTAAAGTCATCGAAGGGATGAGTATGTTCATGCAAGCTCAAGACCAAAAGTTGAGTGATCTGAACAACAAAGTAGAAAGCTTGAAAGGCGAGTCAAGTCATACTCATGAGAAGGATCCCAAAGTGAATGAAGAGAATGATCCTCACCAAGAGGATTCAGGGAAGGATATCTCAATTTCTGGGGGCATGATCTCGATTGATCAACTTAAAGACTTCATCATGGGAACCATAAAGGGGAAGATAGAAGAAGGTCAATCTACTTACTCCTATGTTAAGCCATACACTCAGAGGATCGAGGATCTGAAAATGCCCATTGGTTACCAGCCGCCGAAGTTCATCCAGTTTGATGGGAAGGGAAATCCAAGGCAACATGTAGCCCATTTCGTGGAAACTTGCAATAACGCGGGAACAAGCGGAGATCACCTTGTCAAGCAGTTTGTGCGCTCCCTTAAAGCAAATGCATTTGACTGGTATACTGACTTAGAGCCCGGTTCCATTGATAGTTGGCAAGATATGCAACATGAGTTCTTAAACCGTTTCTATAGCACAAGGAGGGTGGTTAGTTTACTCGAACTAACAACTACTCGCCAATGGAAAGATGAATCTGTGATAGCTTACATTGAGCGTTGGAGGGATCTTGCTCTAAACTGCAAAGAACGAATCTCTACAAGCTCTGCTATCGATATGTGCATTGAAGGAATGCATTGGGAATTGTGCTACATTCTCAAAGGAGTCAATCCAAACACTTTTGATGAGCTAGCAAGCAAAGCTCGTAACATGGAGTTGAGCATTAAGAGCAATAGAAGGAAACCCGTGGGTATGTATCCCGTCAATAATACGATTGAAAAACAAGATACCAAGAATGGGGGCAAGCCCTTTTCTAAGTTTGAAAAGAAAGAAGCAATGGTCAC